AAATTTTTTGTAAATTTCATATTAAAATATTTAAAATTTCCAGCTTCAGCCATTTCCAGCTTCAGCCACGACAATAAGTATTTGCAATTGTTTAAAAAATACTCAAATAAATTTGAATATAAAAAAAATTTAACTTCCAAAATACTAAATAAAAAGTATAGATTCAATAAATATCTTTGGAAGATGCAAATAAATATGCGATACAGAAAAATTTTGAAACTTGATAAAATATAATAATCTGTTACTTTGCAAAAATTCGATAGAAAAAATCTGGTTCATTAACTACTAAAAAATCAACGTTGTTAAAAAAAAGTTCATATTTTACGATATCTAAAAAATTGAAATTGTCAAAGTTCAGATATGTAATTTTGATTATGTTATTATGAAGTTTATTTATAATAAATAATATAATTTTAGCATTAGCTTTTATTTATCTTTTTATTTAGAAATATTGAAAAAAATAGCACCAAAAAAGTTATCTTCTCGTTAGCGTTAACCACATTTATAACTATTGATTTTTGTTCAAATATTCTTTTTTTACTTTTCTTTATAGAAAAATCAGTAATGAGAAAAACAAATACAAAAAAGAAAGCTAATACTGTACCAGTAGAGTCAGATATTTCTGAACATTTAGATGACCTGCTAAAATCAAAAAAGTTGCAAAAATCATATACAACAAAGGATAAAGTAGATTTGTAAGATTATATATACTAGTATATGACCCGTGCCTCTGGCACGTTAAATTATTGGATCTAGCTGCTGCATCAAAAGTGTGATTGGGGGGAGTACGGAAATTTAATGGAGCTTTATTCACAGTAGATTTTGATTTGGATTGGCTAAAAATGATGCTCAAAATTTAAAACAAAGTTACTTCAAATTTTACTAATGAAACGAAAGCTGTTCAGTAAGTAAAAAAGTGTTTGGGCTAATTTTACTAAAAAATTCTATTTTCAAAATGAAAATGGTAAAAGTTAATCGAGGAAAAAAAGTATATAAACAATTATGTACTGCAGGCTAAAGTTTTGTAAGTAGATCACGGCTGGTAGCAATCAAAATGGAGAATCTATCATGACAAATTTGGCGTGGTAGATAGGTCTTTACTATTATGTTAAAGTATACATAAAATATCTATTCTATAAGTAATATAAATTGTTTAATTTTAAAATTAGATAAATTGTTAAATCTGACTATGTACAATATTTATTTATAAACTAAAATTCATGTAAATGATGATTATAAATTCAAATTACATTCGGCATTATTTTAATTTGTGTATTTAGGCCGCTTGAAGTTGAAACTTCGTTTAACGTTATCCCCCCCTCCATCTTCCGGGTTCCCCCCAAAAATTAAACAAATAGAAATGAAATTTTGATCGCCAGCATAGCAGTCGGGCTTTTTCGGTTTACGTCCGGGATTTCTCGATATACTATGTTTAATTTTTATGTTTGTTTAATTTTCATCCCTCCCCCTTTATAAATACGAAAAAAAATAACGTTAAACGAGGTTTTAATTTCAAGTCGCCTTAGATGCTAATAGATTATGGTAATAATGTCAAGTATTTGCTAGCCGTACTGTTTTGAACTAAGGTAGTACTAAAGTAAATTTGCAAGGTAGTAATCATTTAGTGAAACATGTATATTTAAAAATTTAATCGAATTTATGGGTAAAATAGACGTTTAAATGTAGTTCTTATGAGAAACCTTTTAATGTTAGCAGGTTTAGGATATTGCAACTCGTAAAAGAGTAACATTCAGTTCACAAATTTTGATTTCTTATAAAAGTATTTACTAACATCACTGTCATAAATATTAGTTCCGTAATGTACTACTTTATATGTTTTATATTCTTAGCACTATAACGGTCAAGATTTTTTTTTGGTATAATTTTTACAGCAAACTACTATCAGTAGCATAAGTGGGCACGACTTATGAGTTTGCGTATAAATTTTAATTGTGTGCGCACGTACGTACGTACAGTACGTCACTTTTCGATTTTCATCATTTGTTAATACAGAAGTGGTGGTTGCTGACGTTATTAGTAGTTAAGCAGTTTATGCTGTAATTAGCAATGCAATATAAATATATATAGTTATTTACTATCTCATTCTTTTTTTGCGTCTTTTTTTTTATTGTTTTCAAAAAAAAAAAACGTTTTATTACAATTTTCTTGGAGCAGGATTTTTTTTTCAAAGCGCAGTATTTTTTTTTAATTAAACTCATAGGTAAATCGATAATACTTTTTATTTAATATACTTACCTCGTTCTTGACACTATACTGAAAGGTATATTATTTTCTAAATTTTATAATTTATTTTTATTTTACTTTATTTTAATTTTGACTAAAACGTTTATATTAAAATATTTTCGCGAAGCATGAAACGTTATAAGGAAAATACTTTTAGCGAACGTTTTAATGTTATTTGTGTTCTACCTTGATTTTGCTAACAGTAATAAGTATTTTCTTTTTGAACATTAAGTTAAAACGATATTGTGATATTGTTCATAAAGATCAGCTTGTTACACTATAATTTTGTGTAGATCATTGGTTTAGCAGTACCTCGGAATAAACAATATTAAGAGTAGAACAATCATCAACTTCTGAGGGGAAAAGAGCTTTAAGCGATTGAAAAGAAGTACATCGAGAGAGAGCTATGTAAAGTTGGCCATGTGTTAAGACTGGAGTTCAAAGATCTAGGCCAACATGTGTTAACGATTGTCCTTGAGACTTATTTATTGTCATGCAAATGCAATGTGAACCAGAAACTGTTTTCGTCTAAACATAAAGAGTAATTCTATTGAAGAGGGTGTTAAAGTAATACGAGAAATAAAAGCTAAGTTTCCAGCATGGTCCCCACAGAGAATACGTGTTTCAATAACATGTTCTGTAAATCGAGTTACTATTAGGCGAGAGCCATTACAAAGTTCTTGGAAAGGTGCAATATTACGAAAGAGCATAATGGGGCATCCAATTTTGAGTTTAAGTTTAGAAGGTAGCATGCCAGATAGATTGAGAGAGTTTAAGTATTCTATGGGATATACATTGCGATTATCAGCCCCTTCTTCTATAATGGCATCATCTGTGCTTAAATATGTATGTTGGTCTCCAGAAAACATATCTAAGATAACATGGTTAATATCTTGCACATCATCATTTTAAGCAGATAAAATTGTTCTTTCTCTTAAATAATCAGCATTAGATATTTTGGTATGGAGATTAGGGTATATCGCATCAATAAGGGCTTTTGTGTCGGTGTCAACTTTCATTTGTTGTGGAAGCACAATATTATTATCAGATTCAGACGTATTCGTTTCATTTCCAACCTAAGAATCATGTGATTAAATATAAAAAGTCAGGTATTTAGAATATATAACTTTATTTAAAAGTAGTGATAATTTTGCTTACTTCAAGTAGCCAATTTGCATAAGCTTGATTTTCTATAGATCCCAATTCTAAACGTATATTTCTATGTAAAGTGAGTATATTTATATACTGCCATAAGTGTGATCGTTGGAAACATGTATTAACTATCTGTTCTCTAGATCCTTTAACGACGATGGGCAGAATTTGACAGAAATCACCACCAAATACAACTGTGATTCCTCCAAATGGTCGCTAGTCATCACAAATATCACGTAAGGAATGATCGATGGCTTTAGCATAGTAACAGTGCTGCATAGATACTTTGTTCCATATGATAAGTGCTGTATGGCATGCTCAGAATTTTTATCGATAAAACAGGATAAGTTGTCTTGAACGTCAATAGGAATTTTGAATGTTGAATGTGCTGTGCGGCCTCCAATAAGTAAAAAAGATGCAATCCCTGACGATGCAACACAAATGACGATCCTTCCTTCGCTACGGATCTTCATTGTAAGAATATTGTAAACAAATGTCTGCTAATTCCAGCTGGTCTGTTTAGAAAATAGATTTTACCACGTTCGTTTGTTATGGAATCAAGAACATCGAGGTAAGCGGCATATTGTTCAACATTTAGTTGTAGAATACGACTATTAACAGAATTGCGAAGTTCTTCATAGTTCCACATCAATTGTTCTGCAATAAGTCAGTTTCTACGTGAATTATTCCAATTGTGTTCCCAATGAGGCATCGAAGAATACATAGCAAATAACTGATTCGAATTGCAAAGAATCTCATCAAGAAGAAAGAGTCAATAATCATAAATCTGATTCTCTGTTAGTTCAGCAATCATGGATCAAGACATAATCAAAAGCCAAGGTCATCGCAGATATTCTCACGAAAATGCATCCATAAATTTTCTGGGTGAGTTGGATTACATTGAGTAAGAATAATTGCAAAAAGAGACCGTAGCTAGGATCCAGTTCATATAATTGCAGCCTTTTCTAAGCATTGGATCCATTCATTATCATCTTCTAAAAGACCAAGAGCCAGACATGTATCTTTAAATATCAGATAGATAATACCGTTAACTGTTTGTAAATGTTTAAACGATTGCGGACTATAAATGTTGATAAGAAGAAGCCGTAGGTAAAAACATTCTCCTGCAAAAGGATTAGCAAAGTATAATCTGCCAATAGCAAAGCCTTGTTTTCGAATCGTCTATTTCTTGCTAGTTTTATTCCACGTAAAATGTTGAGAGAATTCTTGATATGTATAATGGCGAGCAACTTCTATAGTAGCACAGGCTTCAAAAAAGGCAGTTAGTGTAGTTTTTTGATGTTCAGCTTGAGCAAGAACAGCAACTGCTTCATTATTAGAGCCAAAAACAACTTGATGCATTCCTAGAAGATGTAGCGCCAACTTTACAATATTCGGTACTTCCTCATGTATATGCATACCAAAAAAACACCACGCTGCTTCTGGTGCACCTATGTATCTTGCATCAAAAAAAAGTTTAATTTTATCATGCTTATTTCTGAATTGTATTATCATTCTGTCATGGCCCTTGTAAATATATTTGTGTATATATTTTACAGCCCGTATGGATACACAAACTTCAATATTAATATGGCAATTATATTTTCAGCTAAGCATTGGATTGTACAGCACTACATTCCGGTTATCAACAGTCTTGCCATTAATAATAAATGTTTGCCTGTTAGCTCTTCTGGTATAGAGCGGATAACTATCTTTATCCATTGATATCATTTTTTGAAATGCTTTCGGAAATCTTTTGTGCAATTGTTGTTTTCTATGCAAGGTGCTTTAGAATTGCAGGTACCGCATGGTCCATGAATCATACAACGTAAGATAGTATTAAAGAGTATAGGATCGTTATCTCTATTTGAAAGTTTAGCACATACGATGCAATCAACATTAGTAGTGGTTCTGATTTTACTGTCTAGATGAAGAAAAATAAGCAAATGCATATGCGGATGACCATGTTTTTGAAACTCTATCATGTATACATAAGCTACTACTTTTTTCAGAACGTTATTTTTTTTAATATCGTGCATAAGAGCATGACGTTTAAGTTCAAACACGCATGCAATCAAATCAGATCGATTAGCTGCAGTTTGACCAGTTAATAATTCGTTGATAATTTCTGGCCAATTTGGATTTGCTGTCATAGTTCCAAATATATCAGGGTGATAAAAAAAGTGAATTATAGCCATAGAGTCTTGAAAAACTTCTAGCATATGATATGGACTTCCAATATGAGTCAAAGAGAGAACTATTTGACAACCTAAATTATTTAGTAATATTTTTTGATTTGCAATATTTCCAACTGTATCAGCAAGTCTTGGTACACATCTGCACATAGTGTAGCTTGGTGCAAGTGTAAATATCTTAGCCAATTTTGTTCTGTAGAAGCCCAAGCGTCAACTATAAACTCTTGCAATAATTTTCTGCTATAAAGAATAGTCGAAAATTCATTTTTGCGAGGAAACAGGCAAAATAAATAAAAATTTATTTGTGTAATGCGTGAAGTCTGATCTTGCTCTTCGTCATAATCATGGGTATTAATTAAAGACAGAGCTAGGTCTGGATACCATCTGAGCTCACCACATGGAAACAACAAATCGTAATGAAGTAGCAGGTATGCTGGTGACTTTTATAGATATGCTGAAGTTGACTTCTACGTAATCTGAGTATAATATTACGCATTGCTTCAGGAGGTGATCTGTCGCCAGGTAAAATAACAGCTATTTCATTCGCAGTAGGAAGATTATATCATCATCTATCAGTTGTACTATTGAAATGAAGGCAAACAGCATGTTTAGAATTAGAAGCACCTCTTTCTTTAGCTTGCGCAAAAATTTTGTATGCTTGTTGATATATAGAGTAGAATATGTGGTGCTCTTGTAGAATCTCTTGCAATTCCCATAATGTTTGAGGATTCAAATTTCTATTTTTGCACATTCGTGTTTGATGTGCAAAGTCTGGGTCATAAATATAAAGTTGAGCATACCATGCAGTCATATTAGATTCAGAAAGAAGTGTGCCTGATTGGTGTTGTAGTTTACTGTAAATTCGAAAAGTATACAGGGCCTGTTCACAAAAGACAGATTGATGGTCACTCCAAGCGAAGTGAACACATGCGCTGCATTATTTTGTCGTATATTTTCATAAAATTCTTTAGAACGTGCATTCTGGCATTCAAAGATCTGACGTAATAGTAAAGGTAGTTCTTGAAGAAGATTGAGTTTAACTTTTTCATGATGACAATATTTTCCAAACTTTAGATTTTTTTTCAAAGACACTTGAATGCGTTTGTCCAACTAATAGAGTGCACCACAATAAATATATTCTTTATCCATATGACCAAGGTTATGTTGATTATTGCTTTGATTTAACTATATGGAAGATTCGTGTTCTTATTCTTTTCTTTGTCATTGAGCAGTAGATCATTGATTAGTAGTTTTCTCCATGCGCTCACGCTCTCTTCTTGCTTGTTGGGCAATTGATCTTCTACTTTGGGGTTGTGCGATTTGGTCACATGAAAGTTGGTTCATGTTCAATGTTAATTTGTATATAGAAAAGAAAATATAAATAGAAAAGTTTGAAAAAGCAATAAATTTAAAAAAAAAGTAAACAACTTTCCTGTTTATTTTCCATGCTATTATATATATAAGTCCAGCCCCAGACTGGGTCCTAGGAACCATATGGGTATGTGTCATAAAAAAGTCATGTTGTTTACATTATAAGGTGAAAAAAACTCATATATAACGTAAATAAAGGGGAACCCTTTTATTATAAAAAAAATTACATGTATACTAATAAAATGCGTTAAATTAATAGAAAATGATATGAAAGCATAGTTAAAAAATAAAAAGACCCTTTAAAAAAATGATAACATGATAGAATGTGCAACAGAAACCTAGTAACGATGTCAAAATTGCAATTGCACGTAATATTACATAAAAAGAAAGTACGTGTTTATTTGCAAAAAGCAGTTATTTCTCAAAAATTTTGTATAAGAAGCCACCTTTAGTAGTCTGCAAAAAAAAATTACTGATTAATTATACTATACCCACTAAATGCAAACTACTTAGCATGCTCTACGACAATGGTAGGTGAAAGTAAAAGTCTAGAATACTATACTGAGGGAGATCCAAATATATGCCAAAATAAAATGTAACGCACAACAATTAAGAAAGTTAAAAAAAAGATCGTAAAGCAACATTAGTTCTCTATCAAAGCTGCAGTTTAACGAAAATTTTAAAACTAACAAATGTGTTTGTGTTATTTTGCTCTATTAATCTAAACCATATTGTACTATAACATTCCAATACTATGATTTCTAGATTCATATAAGTTGTATATTGTAAATATAACAACATGTAATATGTTAGAAGAAAAGTGTACATATAGAATTAAAAGCAGTAACTGAAAGGTGAATGTAAGTAAGCATTAATCCTTTTTTTAAGGGTAGGTTGTTATCAGTAGTAGTACGCAGTGAGTTATAGAGTAAAGGATATATAGAGTATTTGGGTAAAAAGGTTTTTTTTAAAAAAATGCATACATACTTTAGTATTTATTTGTAATCATTACCCGAACTTTTAGTAATCATTACCTGAACTTGTAATGCAAATACTTTTTATTAATTTCATGTATTTTAGAATATGACTACGAAAAAATGCATATTAATAGATCTTTACATTAATATATAGTTATTGCCATATATAAATAGATATTCTGGCTTGAATTCAAATGGTGGTTTGAGGTAATAGTCCATTTTACATATGCACGTACGTACGTACAACATGTATGTAGTATATATTTAATGTGTATAGTCATGTAGATTTGGCGATCATTATTTATATAAGTTACACAGCATGTATGTAAAAACCAGTGTCCAATCAGATTGTGTTTTTATCTTCTATGTTTTATCTTTCTGATGTTCCTTAATATATAATAGATATGTATCATGCAATCAAAACTGATTTTTTTTTTTTTTATTTAAAGAAAATATTGATATAGATTTGGAGACCAATGAATTAAATAATAATAATTCACAACCTAATGCTTGTACCCAACATCAATCAAGCTGCTCACTTTTTATAGAATTACAGAATAGACAATCTTATATAGAAAAGCAGCAAAATCAAAACAAGGCCTCTCAGATTTGTGAATCACCAAGTAATCATAACAATCTTGAATATTTGCCTTTTATTGCTAATAAGTATTAACTTAAAGTACTGCCTCAATTGAATACAAGATCTACTGCTTCAAGAGTCTCAAGAGTTCAATCAATTGAATCTAATATTAATTCTTTGCTTGAGTAGCCTAATAGTTATGGCAAATATTCTTCTAATCGAAGATATCATCTATATTCTGATGAAGCTAAATCTTCAGAAGATGAAATCTTTTCTTCACTTAATCAATATTATAATACAAATTCTTTTGAAAAGTTATCTTATTCAGTTTCTCTATTAAATATACAAAATACTATTTAATCAGAGTTATCAGCCTTGTTTACAAAAAGTAGACTCTTTTTTCAAAATAAAACATATCTTGTATAATAGCTAGAAATATATAAAGACATAATATTACAGATATTGAACTCCATTCTTGTATTACCATCTGTTGTACCAAGTCAGATTAGCAGCAATTTATCTGTTATTATTTATTTTTCTGATAGCTATTTTTTGCTAACAAGCTATTTATCTAGCATTATATGAGGTTAGAGTTAACATTTTATTAGTTTCAGATATATTTTTTTTTTAATAAATTGTCACTTTGTAATGTAGGTAAATAGTTTGTCTAGAAAATTAGATGTAAACTATTTATATAAAATACAATAATTATTTAATTTAAATACTAGCATTCTTTTCTAACTTATCAAATTTGGCAAAAATTCTTTTTGAGCAATCTCAGATTTTATTTCTTCAGACTCAAATGCCAATAAAAAGAATATACTCTTTATTGATTAAAAGTATTATTGCTAATATAGTCAATATACATCTTGATTGGAATAGAATCTTAAGTAAATAAGGCAAGTATTTAAAAACTTTTATAGCATCTATAATAATGATATTGTCAAATTGGCAAGTATTTTAATTAGAAAAAAAAAGCAAATTATTATTTATTATTATTATATATTTCATGTTTTATAATAATAAATAAATATATTACAACAATTAAACTATATAAACTCTCAGCTATTACTTCTAAAATTACAATGTTCTTTACTTTTTGTGGGCTATTTTTAGAGGAAAATGATATAAGTAGACAGGTAGTTAAGTTCATTTATGTAGAAGATCAAGATAATAACAGTTAGACTAAACATATATAGCGACTATCAAATCCTTTATAGCTATAAGAACTGAGCTTAAAATGATGAGCTACTCTTCAGAAGAATCTCTATTTAAGTCATTACCAATATTATTAGACTCATATAACTTGGAAATATGCTATACCAAATTTCTTACCTATCACAAACTTCTCTTACTAAGAGAACCACAAATTATCAATTTCTTTCTACAATATCTAATACAAAATAATGCTAAACATCTTCATGTTATGTCTTAATTACTATTAATAGTGACAAAACAGAAGTATATATATATTTATCTCATAAATCTGAACTGCTCTCTAATTACTATATTCTATCTATATATGATTCTTATGATATTCCTTTAAAATCACAATTGAATACACCTACTTATACTAATTTCTACAGATCAATAAATATTACTAATATATTCTTACTAA